TGCAATGAAATTGTTAATTGAAATTGACTTTAAATAATGGCATGACCTAAAGTTATGCAAACATTTGCCTTAGATAAAATTTCAAGTTTTCAAAGTTGTTAGCTGGGTGGACGGCATGGCTTTACTTCCTATTTCTTGGTATTTCCTAATCTTGTTGGAAAAGAAGTTTTTCTTTTTCTCAAAGGCTTGTTTCAGTGGAAAAAAGAAGTTTTTCTTTTTCTCAAAGGCTTGTTTCAGTGGAAGCCCATCTGCAAAATCTGTTCTAAATTTAAATTGGTAAATGACTACAAGTGCCATTGACACGTTGGTTATTGTTTTAGCGAGTGACCTAAGGCCACCTCTCGGGGGAGCTGGGGGCTGCCTTCTGAAACCCGCGAGTCTGCACCGCGTGCCCGGGCGGGAGGTCAGACTCGGGGCGGTGCGGCAGCGCCAGGCCTGCAGTCCTAAGCGCGGGGTCGCCCCGGGCCCCCGAGGGAGTGTGTCTTCTGTCTCTTTAACCTGGCAGGGGCGGTTCAAGTGGCCGGGGAAATCAGCGATTTGCAGGGTCGCGGGCTGCTGCTTTGAAAGAGAGGCGGAGGGGAGAGAGGGATTTCCCGGTCCCGCTGCACTCAGTCCATTCCCTCAGTTAACTCATTTTCTTGGTCGACGCGGCCGCTAACCTGCTGGAACCCCTTGTGCGGTAGAGGCAGCTGGGTCCCGTTAAGGCCCCGCCGCGCCTGCGCCTTGGACTCTCCTGAGGCTGCAGAGCCGAACCCTGAGGAGCAAGCGGGCCGCAGGCGAGGGGCTGGGTGGCGGTTGAGACAGCGGCGGTACTGGCAGGGGTAGGTGAGGGTCGCGAGGCTGCCTGAGCTTCTAAGTGAGCGCGGTGCTTTTGGGAACGCGAGACAGGGGACCTGCGGCGCCAGGAGCGGTCCGGAGCGCAGCGGCGGGGCTGCCCTCTGGATGGGAAGTTAAGGTTTACCGCGACGTCCACCCAGGGTTTCCGAGCTGAGGGCGCTGCGCCAGGCCGGGCAGGCGGTGAATCC